CCTCCCCTCCCCGTAGCCTTCTGGGACACGACAGGTCCCAGAAGATTAGGGGCCATTCAGAAAGCGCACCGCTTCTCACGCATGCGCGGTGGGCACCCGGCTGTGAAGCCGCAAGCTGTCACAGCCGGGTGCCCACACTGAAGATGCTGGTGCCAGGGAGGAAAAGACGGCCGGTGGAACCAGCCATGGTGAGGACACCGCTGGACCGAGGGACAGGTAAGTGTCTGTATTTTAAGAGTCAGCAGCTACAGTTTTTGTAGCAGAGATGAAGGGGATGATCAGCGCAAAAACTGAACAAAGTCCTGGGCTATCCTGGTGTGGGGTGCTGGTGATGTTGTGGATGAACTTGGATTGGCCCGTATGGCACTAAGGGCAATGCTTCCGAAAGTGCTGCAGCAAACTCTGTGGGTGAGAGAAGGAGAAGAAGCGCCTCTAAGTGCAACATACCATTTTATTAAGGTTGAAAGGTAGAAACACTCACAGGGTTGAGGTAAATATAAGCATTTCAAAAACCGTAGTAGGTTGTAACATCGGTCAGATGGGTACAGGGGCGGACTGACCATTTCTAAACTCGGCACTGCCCGAGGGCCCGGGGTCATTAGGGGGCCCCATGAGATGCCCCGGTACCTTTTTCATAGGCTTTTTTGAGTTTGGGCAAGGACACAGGCCCCATGATCCCCTATTGCCCGGGGGCCCCATGAGTTGTCAGTCGGCCCCTGGATGGGTGTACAGGGTGAAGAGCTGTCATCAGAAGGGAACCTTAATAAAATGGTAGGCTGCACTTAGAGGCGCTTCTTCTTCTCTCACCCAGTTTTTGTAGCTCCTGACTTTTTTTTTCCAGGTGGAGCTCCGCTTTAACTTTTTTTTCCCATCACATAGGGGGACACATTGGGGGCTGTGGATGCAATCGGTCGGCAGCGCAGACTGCTTCCATCTGAAAGGTAGGTGTCTGCCTGTCAGTTTTATACACAATCATGGTGGCTGCAGCCACTGGACTGTGTATGAACCCCACCCTCCTCACTGTACAGACCTAGCAGCAAAAGGGTTAAAGGGTAACTCCACTTTCATGGGGGGGGGGGGAAAAAAAAAAAAAAATGTAGCATATACAATTGCGACACAAGTCATATTGTAATATGGCAATCTGGAGGCATTTTGTACACAGATGGTGTACAGAACATCCCCAGAAATGCTTGTGTGATTGGCTCACTGACTTTCCCAGAAGTCTGCACTAAGTTACAAGTCAGATTTTGGGCATCCCCTGCAAAAAAAAAAAAAAAAAAAAAAAAAATTTTTGGTGAGATACCTCCAAAAGGGAAATCACGTCTAAAGGGATGCAGACCCTGCCACTTTCCTCATTAGAGCCCAGCTGATTGACAAATATATAAAACCACTCTAATACAGATTCCCTCTGCACATGGTCACAGACAAACAGCTATTTCTTTAGAATGACACAATGTAGGAATCTGCAACTAAGTTTGTTTAATGTACATAGATCACCCAGGAGGGGAATGGTTTGGGTTTTTTTTTCAACAAAAGTGGAGTTACTGTTTACAGCAGTTACAAAGGCAAAATAGTTACCCAATTCCCTGCATTAAGGTAAAACACGTTTCCATAGAGCTTCACCCCCCCGCTCTTGCTCCCAAAAAAAACATTTACCCGCCACGTCTCTCGATCCAGCGCTGCCCCTGCTGGCAGGCCCCTCTCTTCTCTTCCTGGATTCACAGGCTTCATGGAGAGCCATTGTTTCCTGCTGCTGTCAGTCAAGTCCTGTGAGCAGGGAGCTGGGGCCGAGCAACGCTGTGTGCGTCAATTGACGCACACAACCCAGCTCAGGAACGTGCCCACATGAGTGCTCCCATAGCACATGGCTTGACTTTTTTTCTTTTTAAAGTCACCTAAAAAAAATCCTGATGTTACAGTACAAAAAAAAAAAAAAAAAAAAAAAAAAGGGAGCATATGGCCTGGTATGGTTTTGGGGGGGGGGGGGGGGTTACTGAGCTAGAGAGCAGAGTGAGAGATACAGGGGTACAGAGCACGGGAGTCGAGAGAGATACGGGGGGGGGGGGGGACAGAGCACGGGAGTCGAGAGAGATACGGGGGGGGGGGGCAGAGCACGGGAGTCGAGAGAGATACGGGGGACAGAGCATGGGAGTCGAGAGAGATACGGGGGGGACAGAGCATGGAGTCATCATGAGAGATACGGGGGGGGGGGGACAGAGGAGGACGGGAGTCGAGAGAGATATGGGGGGGGGGGGGGGACAGAGGATGGGAGTCGAGAGAGATATGGGGGGGGGGGGGGGAGACAGAGGATGGGAGTCGAGAGAGATATGGGGGGGGGAGACAGAGGACGGGAGTTGAGAGAGATATGGGGGGGGGGAACAGAGCACGGGAGCTGAGAGAGATATGGGGGGGGGGGGGGAACAAGAGCAAGGGAGCCGAGAGAGATATGGGGGGGGGATAGAGTAAGGGAGCCGAGAGAGATATGGGGGACAGAGCATGGGAGCCGAGAGTGATATAGGGGGGGGGGGGGGGCACAGAGCAAAGGAGTATTAAAAACAGTAAAGAGACTAATGGAGAAGAAAAAAAGAGGAACAGATGGAAAAAGAGAAGGATAAACAAAAAGAGGATGTGGAGAGAATGAATGAGAAGTGCAGGAAACCGCAGGAGTGAAAGGCAGAGGTTAAATAAAGAGATGTCAGATAAAATTGTGTGTGTGTAGTGGAGGGTGAGAGATCCATGAGTGCTGGGGGGGGGGGGGGGGGTAAGGGAAAGCGAGAGATCCACGAGTGCTGGTGGTGTGTAAGCGGAGGAGAGAGATACTTTTTAGTGCTGGGGGGGGGGGGGGCAGGGAAGGTAAGAAATCCATGAGTGCTGGGCGGGGGGATGGCAGGAAGGTGAGGTGTCCATGAGTGCTGGGGGGGGGCAGGGAAGACGAGAGATCCATAAGTGCTGGGGGGGGGCAGGGAAGGGGAGAGATCCATGAGTGCTGGGGGGGGGTATGGTAGAGGAGAGTGAGAGGTCCATCAGTGGGGGGGGGGGGGGGGTTGGGTGGGGTCAGGGAAGGTGGGAGATCCATTGGTCTTGGGGGGGGCGCAGGGAAGGTGAGAGATCCATGAGTGCTGGGGGGGGGGGGGGGGTGTGTGTAAGAGAAGGTGGGAGATCTATGAGTGATGGGGGGGGGGGTGTCAGGGAGGGTGAGAGATCCTTGAGCGCAGAGACTGAAGAAATGACAAGTTCACATGAGGGAAATCCATCCAGGAATAGAAGAGGGGGATGGGTGGTGACTACTGTACTGTCCAGCCACCAGACATAGAAGTCCCCATCATCCACATCTGAGCCCAGAGGACACACCGCAATGCCTTCTTTTCTGCAGAAGATCCCCAAGTTGGGCCTCTCTACCCTCACCCGCCATGCTGGGATTTGTGATCCTTTCTGCCCTCACCCGCCATGCTGGATTTGTGGTCCTCTCTGCCCTCACGCGCACATGCTGGGATTTGTGGTCCTCTCTGCCCTCACCCGCCATGCTGGGATTTGTGATCCTTTCTGCCCTCACCCCGCCATGCTGGGATTTGTGGGTCCTCTCTGCCCTGCCCGCCATGCTGGGATTTGTGGTCCTCTCTGCCCTCACCCGCCATGCTGGGATTTGTGGTCCTCTCTGCCCTCACCCGCCATGCTGGGATTTGTGATCCTTTCTGCCCTCACCCGCCATGCTGGGATTTGTGGTCCTCTCTGCCCGCCATGCTGGGATTTGTGGTCCTCTCTGCCCTCACCCGCCATGCTGGGATTTGTGGTCCTTTCTGCCCTCACCCGCCATGCTGGGATTTGTGGTCCTCACTGCCCTCACCCGCCATGCTGGGATTTGTGGTCCTCACTGCCCTCACCCGCCATGCTGGGATTTGTGGTCCTCTGCTGCCTCACCCACCATGCTGGGATTTGTGGTCCTCACCGTCCTCACCCCATGCTGGGATTTGTGGTCCTCTCTGCCCTCACTCGCCATGCTGGGATTTGTGGTCCTCTCTGCCCTCACTCACCATGCTGGGATTTGTGGTTCTATTTCTGTGTCTTTCAGGAATGATTTGCAGACACACAGCTGCAGCATTACAATCAGTCTCATTCTGTATAAACAATCATAAGGAGCACAGAGCTCAGGACAAATATTGTGACATCCAAACAGGAATCTTCCTGCCAGCCTCATCCTGGATCAGGCTAATGGTTACATTGTATCCTCTGATACCATCCACTAGAATGGATACAATGTATCACATCCCCAGATCCTGCACCCAATTACTGAACTCTTCATTTCAGGCAGCAATTACAGAGCCACGGATTGAATTAAACTGCCCCCCTCCCCCCACCAGTCTCTGCAGATCATTGATGATCCCATGGAGCACAGGATACACCTGCCCTGTATGGAGGCTTGCAGTGCCCATTGATGGAGGACTCACCAGCTGGATGATCCTTCAAGGGGGTGTCCACTGCCAGGTGGGGGGGAGCCCAGGCTGCAGGCAGATCAGGAGGTGTCTGTGTCCATCCCAGGACTGCTGATCCCTGCACAAAGAAAACAGCCCAGACCCCTCTGCTGGCATAGCCACGCCTACCAGGCACATCCCTGGGCGGGGCTACTGCTCTTTAACATGACGTCATTCACACACAGATGAAGGCTGCTTGTCTCCGGTGGGGGACTGTTTCGCTGCTGGATGCAATGGAGGCGGTGCTGTCATATGGAATTCAGAATTATGAAAGTATCCAATCACTACAAAAAAAGAAGAATAAAACATATTGTGCCAATGCATGGTGATTGTATTCCAGCTCCATCCATCCATCCCTGCTGTGTGCTCAGATACACATACATTGCGTCCAATCCCTAAAGTCACATTAACCACGTAAAGTGTTACTAAACCCCAGACCCTGCATTCACTATATCCGCTCTTCACTCCCGGACCCTGCATTCACTTATATCCTGCATTCACTATATCCGCCTCCCCGGACCCAGCATTCACTATATCTGGTCTCCCCAGACCCTGCATTCACTATATCCGCTCTCCCCGGACCACGCATTCACTATATCCGCTCTCCCCGGACCCTGCATTCACTATATCCGCTCTCCCCGGACCCCGCATTCACTATATCCGCTCTCCCCGGACCCTGCATTCACTATATCCGCTCTCCCCGGACCCCGCATTCACTATATCTGCTCTCCCCGGACCCCGCATTCACTATATCCGCTCTCCCCGGACCCTGCATTCACTATATCTGGTCTCCCCGGACCCCGCATTCACTATATCCGCACCCCGCATTCACTATATCTGGTCTCCCCGGACCCTGTATTCACTATATCTGGTCTCTCAGACCCTGCATTCACTATATCCGCTCTCCCCGGACCCTGCATTCACTATATCCGCCCTCCCCAGACCCTGCATTCACTATATCCACTCTCCCCGGACCCCGCATTCACTATATCCGCTCTCCCTGTACCCTGCATTCACTATATCCGCTCTCCCCGGACCCTGAATTCACTATATCCGCCCTCCCCGGACCCTGAATTCACTATATCCGCTCTCCCTGTACCCTGCATTCACTATATCTGCTCTCCCCGGAACCCTGCATTCTCTATATCTGGTCTCCCCGGACCCTGCATTCACTATATCTGGTCTCCCTGGACCCTGCATTCACTATATCCGGTCTCCCCGGACCCTGCATTCACTATATCCGCTCTCCCCGGACCCCGCATTCACTATACCCGCTCTCCCCGGACCCCGCATTCACTATATCCTCTCTACACGGACCCTGCATTCACTATATCTGGTCTCTCCGGACCCTGCATTCACTATATCTGGTCTCTCAGGACCCTGCATTCACTATATCCGCTCTCCCCGGACCCTGCATTCACTATATCCGCTCTCCCCGACCCTGCATTCACTATATCCTCTCTACACGGACCCTGCATTCACTATATCCTCTCTACACGGACCCTGCATTCACTATATCCGCTCTCCCCGGACCCTGCATTCACTATATCCGCTCTCCCCGGACCCAGCATTCACTATATCCGCTCTCCACGGACCCTGCATTCACTATATCCGCTCTCCCCGGACCCTGCATTCACTATATCCGGTGTCCCCGGACCCTGCATTCACTATATCTGGTCTCTCATGACCCTGCATTCACTATATCCGCTCTCCGGACCCTGCATTCACTATATCCGCTCTCCCTGGACCCCGCATTCACTATATCTGGTCTCCCCGGACCCCGTATTCACTATATCTGGTCTCTCAGGACCCTGCATTCACTATATCCCCTCTCCCCTGGACCCTGCATTCACTATATCCACTCTCCCCGGACCCCGCATTCACTATATCCGCTCCCCCGGACCCCGCATTCACTATATCCGCTCTCCCCGGACCCCTCATTCACTATATCCGCTCTCCCCGGACCCTGCATTCACTATATCCGCTCTCCCTGGACCCTGCAGTCACTATATCCGCTCTCCCTGGACCCTGCATTCACTATATCTGCTCTCCCCGGACCCTGCATTCACTATATCCGCTCTCCCGGACCCTGCATTCACTATATCTGCTCTCCCCGGACCCTGCATTCACTATATCCGTTCTCCCTGGAATCGGAAATTACGTCAACGCATTTCGCCCTTCCTCCAAGGCGTCGTCACAGACTAGATATAGTGACGACGCCTTGGAGGAAGGGCAAAACGCATTGACGTAATTTCCGGTTTACAATCCACGACGTGTGACGTTCACGTCCGGTGAGTGGAACACACGCTGGTTCGGCGTTCCGAGACCATATTTGATGTGGGCAAATCAGGCTAAATTCCCTGATTGCTGCCAATTCATCTCTTTCCATGCTATTGGGATCATATATGTGTAAAGAAATTGTATCTATCAAAAGGCTTGATTTATTCTCTCAAAGTGTGAGTGCAATGTGAACTTTTTTTTTTATTAAAGGCTTTATACAGTATTATGCTATTAGGCTCTCCCCCTCAGGGCCGGACTGACCATTTGGAAACTCGGGCGCTGCCGGAGGGCCCGGGGTCAGTAAGGGGCCCCATGAGATACCCCTGGTACCTTTTTCATAGGCTTTTTTGAGTTTGGCCAAGGACACAGGGGCCCCATGATCCCCTATTGCCCGGGGGCCCCATGAGTTATCAGTCCACCCCTGCTCCCCCTTCTTTTTTTTTTTTGCATCCACCATCCATCCATGAGCGAAAGTTTGCGGATTACCAGGGAAGGATTGTTGGGGGTCGTTTGAAAGGATTTGTGTCCGTTTCAGCTTGCAATCGTTTTTGTAAATGTGAGTGTAATGGTTAACATTTGAAAAAATGAATTTTTATGCATTATTACACGATTTGTTTTTTTACTTTTTCCTTTCATCCACTTGGGAGGTATTGATTAAGAAAATGCTGAAGTAATGGGGAGATTTGTTCAGAAGATCTCATCACAACCTGATTGAGTGAGTGTGAGGGATAACTTGCACCATTTAGAAGATTTTAAACACGTTGGGAATTATATTGTTTATATTATTTTATTGAAGTTTCTTTCGAAACACAAGACTTTCTTTATTTGGGTTTTTATTTGTTTTTTGTCTTAATTGGTTTGCGCTTTTTTTTTTTTAGAGCAATTTATAAGCGTTTTTACAGTACATGTAGAAAAAAAGTTGTTTTATTTATTTTATTTCAGGTACTTATATAGCACCATCAATTTACACAGCGCTTTACATATATATTGTACATTCACATCAGTCCCTAACCCTCAAGGGGTGTACAATCTAAGGTCCCTAACTTACATTCATACATACACATACTAGGGACAATTTAGACAGGAGCCAAGTCACCTACCAGCATGTCTTTGGAGTGTAGGAGGAAACCAGAGCACCCGGAGGAAACCCACGCAGGCACAGGGAGAACATGCAAACTCCAGGCAGGTGGTGTTGTGGTTGGGATTTGAACCAATGACCCGAGTACTGCCAGGGGGAAGTGCTAACCATTTAGCCACTGTGCAGCCCGTTTTAGTAGTGCTTAGGAGCGTTGGGGCACACCATGCAGACTAGCATCTTTTTTTTAACCACTTCCAGTCCGGACACTTTCCCCCCCCCCTTCCTGCCCAGGCCAATTTTCAGCTTTCAGCGCTATCACACTTTGAGTGACAATTGCGCGGTCATGCAACACTGTACCCATATGAATTTTTTAGCATTGTAGACAGATAAAGCTTTATTTTGGTGGCATTTATTCACCCCCGGGGTATTTAATTTTTTTTTGCTATATAAATGAAAAAGTCCAAAAATTTTGAAAAAAAGTGTTTTTCTTATAAAATTTTTCAAATAAATAATATTTCATCATAAATCTTGGCCAAAATGTATTCAGTTTTTTTTTAGTAAAAGACAATAACCCAAATTAGTTTCTAACCAAAAATGATAATTTAATTATTTTTTTTTAATTTTTATATTATTATTTATGTCTTTTTTTTTTTTTTTTTTACATACTGTCACCCTAGCAGTACAGTGTCACCGTGGTGACACTGTACTACTTGGGGGTGATGAAGATTTTTTTTTTTTTTACACTGATTGCTTTTACACCCATAAAGGCTGTAAAAGCAATCATTTCTCCTTCTCTCTGGCTGCATTCTTGCAGCCATTGAGAAATACTGTGTGAGCTGTGATTGGTCACAGCTTGTCACATGGTACAAGGCTGTTGTGAATAGCCTTGTACCATGTGACCTCTGATCATTCACAGACTTCACTAGTAGTAAGCAATGATGTCACAAGCAGGGGTGGACTGACAACTCATGGGGCCCCCGGGCAATAGGGGATCATGGGGCCTGTGTCCTTGCCCAAACTCAAAAAAGCCTATGAAAAAAAGGGTACCAGGGAATCTCATGGGGTCCCCTACTAACCCTGGGCCATCGAGCAGTGCCCGAGTTTCCAAATGGTCAGTCCACCCCTGGTCACAAGTGACATCTTGCTTACTACTCTTCATGTGATCACTGATTGGCCAACCTCTAACATGAAGTCCCATAAAAGAAAGAGAGGAGAAGAGGAGGAGAGGAGAGAAGGAGGAGAGAAAGGAGAGGAAAGGAAAGAAGAGAAGGAAAAGGAAAGAGAAAAAGGAAGAAAAGAGAGAGAAGAGGAGAAGAGAGGAAAGAAAAGAGAAAAAAAAGGAAAAAAAAGAAAAGAGAAAAAGAAAGAAAGGAAAAAAAAAAGAAAAAGGAAAGAAAAAAAAAAAAAGGGGAAGAAAGAGAAGGAAAGAAAAGAAAAAGTAAAGAGATAAAAGAAAAGAAAAAAGGAAGAGAAGGGAGGAAAGGGAAGAGAAGAAAAGAAAGGACAGAAAAGAAAAAAAAGGACAAAAGAAAAAAACAGAAAGAAGAAAAAGGAAAAGAGAAGAAAAAAGGACAGAAAGAGAAAAAGGACAGAAAAAAGGAAGGAGAAAAAAGGAAAGAAAAAGAAAAAAGGAAAGAAAAAGTAAAGAAAGAAAAAAGAAAAAAGAAAAGGAAAAGATATAAAAGAAAAGAAAAAGAGGGAAGAAAAGAAAAGAAAAAGGAGAAGAAGAAGAAAAAAGAAAAGGAAAAGAAAAAGAGAAGAAAAAGAAAGGAGAGAAAGAGAAAAAGGAAAGAAAAAAAAGAAAAGAAAAAAGTAAAGACAGAAAAAAAGAAAAGAAAGGAAAGATATAAAAGAAAAGAAAAGGGAAGAAAAGAAAAGGAAAAGATATAAAAGAAAAGAAAAGGAAGAAAAAGAAAAGAAAAGGGGAGAAAGAGAAGAGAAAAGAAAAGGAAAGAAAAAAAGAAAAGAAAAGAAAAGGGAAAAGAAAAGGAAAGGAAAGAAAAGAAAGAAAGAAGAAAAGAAAAAGGAAAGAAAAAGGAAAAAGAAAAGAAAGAAAAAAAGAAAGATATAAAAGAAAAAGGAAAGAAAAAAAAAGAGAGAGAAAAGAAAGGAAAGAAGAAAGTAAAGAAAAAAAGGAAAAAAAGAAAGAAAAGAAAAGAATAAAAGAAAAAGAAAAGAAAAAAAAAAAAGGAAAGAAAAAGAAAAAAAAAAAAAGAAAGAGAAAGAAAGAAAGAAAGCAAAAGAAAGAAAGAAATTTGAAGAGTAATAGAAGGGACCTTTC